ACACACACACACACATACTCTCTCTCTCTCTCTCTGATCCCGGAGAGAATTCTGCCCGACAAATTTCGGTTCTATCCCTCATTTTCGTGCTTGTATCTACTATACTTGAAATGACTCTTCTATACTTTGTTACGCCTATTCATCGATGGTTGCTCGAAAACATTTTTCAGATTTTACAGATAGCCATCTGTGAAAATGGTATCGAGCCAATCGTTTGGCCAATCATTGCTCGAGGTGACTACGTAACGCATGGCATTCGTTTTATCTGCCAAAAAGCGCGTGATCAATGAATTGCGCTTCATGCGATTATTAAACAACACAGTTATGATACAGTTCAATACACTTCGCGGCCGTGTGTAATTTCTCAATTTAAATATTATGTTCGCTCGGTTCATGACTTACCTACCAGTTAGTTACCAGATCTATCAGACGATAAACGAATATTATTTAAACAGATTTGTATCACAGATAATCATTCTTCGAAACATTCGCACCAACGCAGTGTATACAACTTGCCATTCAAACTTTCTTCTTAATTGATTAATTACATTTGAACGAGAATGACAAAGAAAAAAAAAACATTTTTACATCCTTAATTAGCTTTGTGAATTTATTCGAAAAAAAAAAAGGAAAAATACAGAAAACTAAAATCAATACATATAGATTTTTATATAACTCGTGTTGCTCACTGTCAAAAAGAAACGAGATTGACGTTTGAGATCAGGGCGCAAGACGCACGCTTCTTTTCCACGTCGAATCCGTTAGTAAAATCAATCTTTCGGAAGAACGGTGCTTTCGTTGAGTATACTCGTCATCAGGTGGAAAGAATCAAGCAAACCAGTTCGCAATCTCAAGATGAAACAAAAACGCTTAAGGGGGTTAAGAGATCGGCGAGAGCCGCGAATTCGAAAGAAAGAATCGCGAGCGCGAAGAGACAGGGAAACAGGGCGGACACAGAGCCGTCGCGATTGCGTAGGAAATGCTAAAATTAACCGAGCGATTCGAATCAATTAGGCCTTTCCAACATTCAACACCCTCGGGCAAAGCCGAGGCTCGCGGCTTTTGTTTCGCCTACGCGATGTTTGCTAGCGAAACCTGCCGCGCGGGTGTATCGATTGTGCAGCATACTCTCGCGCGAGCCAGCTGTGACCCAATTGTCTAGTTTCCATCTCGCAGACGCGAGTAAATTACCCGGCCGATGAACACGGTGCACAGGTTTTACCGAGACTTTGCTCCGGCCAGGCAGAACGATCATAAAAATAAACGACACCTACGACAACGACAGAACCCAATCCTCGCACGCGTTTTTATTACATTGCGTTACGTTGTCGAACACGCGAGACCTCGACTCGCACGCCTCGTGCATATATTCGTTGAGGTTTACTCGCGTTTTACCGACTGGACCTTTGATATTTACGCGGAGGTTGGCGAACGAACTCGAAACAGCCACGATTCTCATGCAAATGGAATCGCTCCGACAAGCGAGTGCACACGACGAAATTCGACGAAATTCGATGAAAATTCGATGAAAATTCGACGAAACGGCGAAGGACCGTCGAGTTGTTTATGGAAGCAGCGCAGTTTATTTCCGACGCGGCGTCGATAACAATATTACAGTATTTTGCTATTCGAATCGCCGTCGTTTCGTTCCAACAGTCTGCGCTCATCAATAAACTCTCGTCAAAGCGTTTAGAAGCGGGTTTCGGAGGCGCAGCCGGCACCTCTAAATCATCGGCGTCTAGACGCAACAAGCGGCAATCGAGACTCGCGTGGATTTACGACCGCGATGATCGAAACGATCGCGACCGGTCGACGATTCGCGAGCACTGATCGAATCGCGAAGCGTTGAAGTTTGAAGAGATCTTGTTTGTCCGGCCTACTAAACGCCTACTAAGATTAAGATCCGGGGCAGGCATTCGGATTTCCACGCGGCTCGCGCGCAGAAAAACACACTCGAATCGCGTGCCATTTCCACGATCCGCAGCCACGTTCGCGTGGCTTGCGAAACGCTCGATTTAGATCCCGTGATTCTCGCTGTGAACGAGCCGGCGACTACTCGAGAAGTTGTTTCCTAGCGAGGCTGCTTCATCGGCGAGGAATCGCGCGAGCGTGGGCGCCTTGTATAATATAATAAGCGCGCGCGCGCGTGTCCGGAAAATTTCGCCGGTTATGCAACGCCGCGTTTCCGTGTGAATACGCGCGACCACGAGAAACAGAGACGAGGAGAACAGCTGCGAGCTGTGCATCGCTTGGCCCGCCATTGTTCGACTTCCCGATCTTACTTACTCGCGCGTGTTTCGCGCGTTACACAGCGTAAGCATATTTCGTCCGATGAATTGTAAATGCAGGTACTGCCAGCCAGTGTAAATATTTTCGCAACGGCGTTCAAGTCGAAGAAAGGAAATCTATGAACGACTTGATAGCCAGTTTCTCGCTGGATTGTGAAACATTGATTCGTTAAATGAAAACTTTGACTGGCCGGTTAAAATTAGAATCTTCCTCCCTCCCCCCACTTTGGGCGAAGTTAGCGCGCCTCGCGATCTGAAATTAATCGCACGATGTATAAACAGATTTACGTCATTGCGGACAACTTCCTCGAAAGAGAAAAAGGTTTTGTCACGCGCGAGATCTTCGACTGTCTTGGAAACCGTAAAACGAGCAAGTCTCGCGGAACGAAATTACGCACGATGGCTCCGCTCGAAGCGGAATTTCTACCACAGCTATCGCGATCAACAGGATGCACTTCTATACACGCAGTTTATTATCATGTTACAGTGGCTTGTTTCGTGCAAACGAATTGTGTGAAAATTCAATGTTGCCAATTGATTACCGAATTTAACACCGAAATGGCTATTTACTATTGTAAATTATTAGCGAATTATGTTATTACAATAAGCTCCAAATTAACGTTTAACTTTTCAACTAACAGTCACCTCGGTATTTTGCTTTCAACTACCGAAAGCTACTTACTCTTCTGAACTATTTCCGAGTCATGTTCGAATCAATTTTGAATTTACATTCAATTTTTCAACCAATAGTCACTTCGATGGTCTGCACATTTTTGTTTTTTGCTTTCGTGTTTGAAAAAGTTTCGAATTAATATTTAATTTTACAACTAATTATGTCATCTCGATACTCTACACGTTTTGCTTTCAACTATCGAAAAACTCACTCTTGTGAATTTCTCACTCACTCTCGATTCACGTTCTAATAAATTTCGAATTAATGTTTAATTTCTAGTCGCCTCGATATTCTGTACATTTCTTGCTTTCAACTATCGAAAGCTATTTATTGGCGGATTGTGTTTGAAAAAGTTCCGAATTAATATTCAATTTTACAACTAATTGTCATCTCGATACTCTGTACACGTTTTGCTTTCAACTATCGAAAAATTTATTCTTGTGAATTACTCTCGAATCACGTTCGAATAAACTTCGAATTAATGTTTAATTTCTATCGAAAGCTATTTATTTTTCTAAACTATTGGCGAGTTACGTTCGAATCAACTCTGAATTAACAATCAATATTACACCTAGATATTCTGCACATTTTTTTTGCTTTCAACTATGAAAGACTATTTTTCTAAAATAAATTTAGATTCGGCAAACCGTTTTTCAACTAATAATAGCCACCTCGATATTACCGTACATTCCTTGCTTTAAACTTGGTATTCGAATCGGTAGCAATGGTCTCGCGCAGAGAGCGGAGTTTCGAGCCTTGCTCGTTATCGATCCGAACGGGAGGATCACACGCGCGATTGATCGACGTACGCGGCCACGTCAATTTAAGGTACTTTAGGAAGTCGCTTCGTGTCCCAGTTACTTCCTTTTACGCGGTTGGCCGAGCCATCACGGGCAATCGCGCGGCAATTAAGTTGTAAGTGGATTAATCGGTCGTTACCGCGGTGAAAGAAAAAAAAAAAAAAAAAAGAAAAAACAAGAAAAAAAAAAAAGAAAAAAGAACGCGACACATTGACGAACTTGTTGAATCTAACTCCAAGTGGCCTCTCGAGCCGGGCAAATAAATTTGTCCGACCGGACAGGATCGTTTCCCTTCGTTTTTACCGGCCGCTAAATACCATCGACGACGGGGAACTCTCCTCTGACTTTGGCCAAGGTTTTTGTCGCAGCCTGCCACTCTCTAAACTTTTAATTGAATTTAACCTCGAGAGTCACGATTACGCTCGAGCCGAGAGAGCTCGTCCACCAGCTTTGAAATCTTTATGACCGTCGTCGTTGCCTCGATCGATCGATCGAACGACCGAGCAGAGAAAAACGTTCACGCGCGAATTTTCGATTAGCCGCTCTGGCTGCGTAACACTGGAATCTCACGGTACGAACTTGCGCGACAATTTCGCGCAGAATCGAGACCTCTATAGGCATCCTGTAATAAAAAGTCGATGAAAATTTTCATTAGAGTTGCGTGGAGTAACTTACATGGCATGATACCTTGCGCAACCAGCTGATTGATGGGCCGCCTCAGCGTAAGCTTCACCTTCAGCGCTGCAACAGAGAAAACAAAACGTGTCTTTAATTTCTCTCTTCTTTCCTCGACGATGTTATCTCCTCTCCACGATCGCGCGGCGCTCAAGACCCTCTTAATTCGACCCTCTTATCCCTTGTCATTAAACTATCAATTCTTACGTTCGATTAACGATCGATCTTCTCACGCAATCAGGTATCTCGTATCAATTTCGACGCTTCGTCGCAGAACTTTGTCTCGTTCAATCTTCCCCCGCAACTCTCGGAGAAAGACCGAGAAGGGATCTTTTCATCCGAATCCGGATAGGAAGGCGAGTCGCGTCGCGAGGAACAGCCGCGCTGTTTCAGCAGTAGGCAGTTCACCAGCTCGTTCTATAAAAATCGGATGATCAAAGCCGATCGGCGATGGCCGCGTGGCCATTTCTCGGTAGGCGATATTTTCT